ACAAAAACTGTGGGCATCTGTGTGCACCAGCCCTCAAAGTCTCTCAGTCTCTTTGGTACCACAACACGGAATGAAATCGATAGCAGTGTCGGATGAAAAGGCCTAAATAAATATTGCATGCTGGGCAACATTGTACGAAAAAGCAAATGTAGAAAAAAGAGGAAAAAATGGGGGCTAGCAGCCCAAAACCTATTCCCCAGAGTGATTCAGAGTCAGTCAAGTGGATGCGTCTGTGCATTGAGAGAGCAGCGAGGAGCCGGGCTAGCGGAGCACAGCCGAGGAAGAGGTCATCCGGGATCAAAGAGAGCCGCACTGCTTCGTGGAAGTCCAGGCAAAAAATAAAAAAAAAGCCTTGTACTTCTGGTAGCCTTGGTTAGTAATGCATGCCTTTCCTCCACTGAGAGCCAGAGCTCAGCACTTAGAGATACAGCCAGAGCCTGCGCCACATGAATTACATCAACTACTGCATTCAATTAGAGGGGGTACCAGTTTAGAGTCTGCACGATGTCAGTGAAGAGAAAAAGACTGAGATGCAGTAATCAGTGACATCATCAAAGAGGGATTACAATGAAGCTATAGATGGATGTAAAACACGACAATAAATACTATTAGTGCGACTCAGATGCAATAAAAAACTTACATTAACTTACGCTTATGTTATGCATGCATCCACGCCCAAATGACTGGGCTTTTTATAAATGCATTATAACTTCTAGGGGATGTTATTTTTACTTATTTATTATTTTATTTATTTTTTGGTTAGAAGGGGGCACAGCAAAAAAAGGTTTTTTTGCAGACGTTTAACAAACAAAATATATAAAACTGAATTGAACCTTTTGTATTTTGAAATGGTATCAAACTTGAAAATCTGTGCATCGTTACTCCTCTAGTGTGAAGACATGTAAACTGTACAGATGGTGCAAAAATTAACATAATATTAACATATAAACACAAGGCACATACTCAGGCACTCCTTATTTATGCTGTATCAAAAAATACATAGTTCTAAGACACCACCTTAGCATATCTATTCAAATTTTGAATCCAGTGACTAAATATTTACATCTGATGGGGAAGATCTGCTTTAGGCACCAGATACTGTGGCTGGTTTTTTGCCATAAGCTATATGAACACTTTTGTTCCCAGTGTTTCTTTCAACTAGCCACCCTTGGAGAGGAGCACCTGGCTAGTGTCCCCCAGGTAATTTGAGTTTGAGATCCATGCATTAAAGGCAATGTGAATCAGAAATCATGGCATTTTTTTTCTTCTACAGTGTGCTGTATATCCAACTAAAACAGTATCAGGGAGGGTCTCTGAGCGAAGTGCACATATGTGCTCGATTACAGGTGGTGATGGTGAGGGGGGTATCATTTATTGGAAGATTATCGGAAAACAAGAATTCTGTCTGATAAAATAATATGATGTAATGAATCACAATGAAAGGATCAGTGACATGAACTAACAAAGAAAATAATTAAAAATTCAGATTTCAGGTCGATATTAAAAGCTCAAGAATTGACAACTTGAGCCCTGATCACTGTTATGTACCAAGAATGCTTGAATGTTTCTTAGAAGCGCTGTTTAATAACCAACTCCTCAAAAAGACTGCAGAAATATACTTATATGGCTGGGAAAAGAGATAAAAAAGAGATTATATATGGTAAGAGATGAAAATTGGTACACATCAGTATGGCTCTTCACCTTTGGAGGAGTCCGTTTGTAAACCTCAGCAAAACTGCCAAGAAAGAGACCCTTCTAAGAGAGAAAAATCATGCAATATGGAAAGCCAGCACACGGCCATACGGTAGGCGTGGACTCCGCAAGTGATGCCTTATTGAGGACAGCGAGGCGCAGAGTTAGAAATTCCAAGTCGTTCACAAACTTACATCAAGATGACAAGAGCAGCGTGCTAACGTACTGATCTAAATGACAGGCCAAATGCCTGGGTGCCCTTGAAGTACAGCAGCACAATAGAAGCCCATCATTTCACGCCAAGAGCACAAAACTCTTTTAGGGTTTTCATTTGGACGGCACAGATTTTTCTAATTACCAGTCTCCACAAAGACGCCTTTCAGCGAACAAGAAAAGAAATGCCAAAAAACGTGACATGGCTGTTAATTGAGTGGTTTTTTGAGTTATTTAAGAAACCATGATCGAATTCTCTTCTTCAGAAAAGGGAAAAAGGGGACATCCAAGTAATTTCCTATCAGTGTCAGACACCAACACTCAGATAATTGGTAATGCCGTACTTAGCTAAACTCAAGGAATTGTCACAGGCAGTGACTGATAAAAGTGATACTGGAGACATTGCTGAAAAAAATATTTGCAGTTTAATTGAGAATTGAACGAGGAAAAAAAATATCACGCAACTGCCAGACCCAACCTAATTGTTAAGAAATTGATGTTCTCTAATCAAGAGTAAAATATTCAGAGATATGAAAAAACAAATCTACAAATGCAAATTCATGTCAGTGGTCAGGCAAGTTGTGCTTAATATGCATGGGAAAAAAGTGCCTAAAACTAAATCAATTCACTAAAGACACAGCAATTAATCAGAGATTAAAGAAAGACATGACATACATTTAATGAGTCACATCAAAACAGTAAATAAATGAGTGACTAAATAAGAGAAATAATTGGGAGTTGTATTCAAACCTATCCAAAAATAAAACAGATGTGTCTAGTTTGTCCCCCCGAGAGAAAAAACAGAGCCAGTATGCTTCGGAATCGTAACCAGGACAAACATTTGATAAATGAGACACTTAGTGTGACAAGACTTGAACAACCCAGAGCTGACTGTGCTATCCTGAGGGACCTCACTGAAACGCTGTGTTCGGTGAGAGCCACCTGCAGTGCTGTCAATTACTTTGCCAGGGAATGTAGTCTGATATCAGTTTATTTTGTTGTAATGTTTACTACTTATGTATGCCCTACATTGCATGGCATACTTACTGTATTTGGCAGAAGTGCTCAAATCTGGCCCTCCGATCCCCTAAACTTAGTGTGTTTTCACTGGTTAGTTAACTGAATATGCTGCTGTGTTATCATCTGGCTCACAATTTAATCCTAACCTTACCTAACCTATGCACTGGTGATTCATTCATGCGCTGGCGTTTTATATTAGCTAGTGGAACTGACTACATCAGTAATTAGAGCTTGCTGTGTGCTACTGTGTTGTTATTGTTGGATAGGACCTGAGCAAGTGCACATATTTAAAATGGAATTCAGACTGCAAAGAGCTTATTTCTGCATCTGCTTTATCAGAGAAACAACGAAAGGCAATGCTGAAGTGTGAAGCATACTGACCAGCTGCTCCATTAAGCACACCTTGTTTCTACACTTTGTCCATTTAATCAGCTCTACTTACCATACAGGTGCTCTTTAAAGTTCTACAATTACAGACTGTAGTTCATCTGTTTCCTCCTTTTACCTCATTCTACAATCATCAGGACCCCCACAAGACCACCACAGAGCAGGTATTATCTGGGTGGTGGTTCATTTTCAGCACTGGTAGTGTGTTAGGGGGTTTGTTAGTGGGTGACCGCCACTGAAGGACTAGAGGACGACCAACACAAACTGTGCAGCAACATTTGTTGCCATTGCCTCTAACTTTACATCTACAAAGTAGACCAGCAAGGTAGGTGCCTCTGGTAAAGCGGACAGTGAGTGGACACAGTGTCACTGCAGTGCTGAGAATAATCCACCACCCAAATAACACTTGCTCTGTGGTGGTCCTGACCATTGATGAACAGGGTAAAACAGGGCTAAGAAAGTGTGCGGAGAAACAGATGGACTACAGTCTGTAATTGTAGAACTACAAAGACAACCTATATGGTAAATGGAGCTGATAAAATAGAAAATGAGTGTAGATACAAGGTAGGCACACTTAATGAAGTGGCCAGTCAGTGTATATTCTTATTCGTGTGTTTGCTTGTTTAAAATGTGACAAAAACAACAAAAAACTATACATTTTCCACTGTTCTTCACATATGAAAATAAATGCATGAACAGCATTAAGAAATCATGTTAAATACATGAAAGAGTCTATTAAAAGGCAGAAATAGTCTTTTTTGCCTTGGTATTGAATGTTAAATGAGGGTTGTGAAATTTCAGTAACTAGCCTTCAACTCCTGCAAATTAAGTATCCTTGGCCTGCAATTTTCTCACTTTTGTATTAAGCCACATTATATGCATCAGTTTGATTGCGTTCACATGGCTTGGCCTGCTGAGAGAGATTTATGACAGCTAGCTGATCTGGTTCTAAGAAAAACGCTGAAGGGTTGCTTTTAAATCATTGACTATTATATCACTGAATTAGGGAATGTGCTTTTTAAGTTAATTATTTCATTATTAGGGCACTGAGGAGAGGAGCTTCAGTCAAGAATACCGCTCAACTGGCTAGCATCTCAGTGGTAACAGGGACATCTGCATTTAGATCTATGGGAAAGACATCAGTAAACATGGTTGGAAATTGTGGATGAAAACAAGCGTGTGATTCAAGAAGCGTGATGCTTGTGCATTAGTGTAAAGAAAAACAGAACAGCTGTTCCTCTGGTCACTGAGAATGTCAATGCAGGACGTGATCAGACTGTGTCAGCAAGAACTATATAGAGGGATATTACAGTAGGTGTGAAATGGTCATATGGTCAGATAAGTCATGCTTCACTATATTTTCCACAAGTGGGAGAGTGCATGTGTGGTGTACACCAAGAGAACAACACAGGCCTGAATTCTTGACCTCTACAGCGAGGGGCCCCGTGGCTCTGGTATGCTGTGAGGGGCATTTTGCTGGTATAGCCTGGGTGCCACCTTAGAGGGAAAGATCACTGCAAGACTGTACATTAAAGTTAAAAATCTTTTTTCTTCTCATATAAAGCCAGCTGTTTTAACGTAAACATAATTCCGCATGGAAAACAAAACATGAGCATTTTAGAGTAGAATCAGGAAGAGAGATATTCAGTGTTTCATCACTAACTAACTGAAAAAGTAGCGACTCCTACCTGGATCCACTTGTCAGGAATAGCCATGGCCAGTCTATAGTCAAAGCCACATCCTCCCTCCTGCACAGGCCGACACAGCGTGGGCATACCAGACACATCCTGAAGAAAGACACAAAAGAAAAAACATTAAATATTCTGCCATTTCTGGCCCAGAAATTAATCCCTTCACCTGCTTTGTGTAAGAAGGCCATGGGGGACCTTGATAACTTTTGCAATTTTCCTGAAAAATTACTTTAATTTTGCTTATCCTACTTTTATTTAACCAGACTAGCTGATAAATCTACCTGGTATTTTCCCCAAACTATTAAAGTTTCTGTTTTATCTACTTTAAAATTAGTTATTAGCTATATTTTTCACTGTTTAATGGGAGCCAGGGCAGCAGCGTTTTCAGTTATAAAAGACCCAAATCCAATTCAATGTAGTTCATAAACAAGCATGAGATTGTATCTAGAAAAGTCAGTGTCCACTAATTACAAAAACAGAGAGAACAGTGAGTCAAATGAGTAAGTGCTTTCATTAATCATGGCTTTAGACAGTAAGACAGTGGCACTGAGTACTAATTTAATGTGCTGTGCTCCTTTGACTCTGGAGGTTAATTTCTTCTTTGTGGAGGTAGAAGAAAGTAGCTCTGTTGACAAGACTAGGGTTAGTGAACCGAGAACACAAGTATTGTTGCAACTTGGATGATAGCAGAGTTTTCTGCGTGGAGTAATGAGGAGAAAGAAACACCACTGCAGTGCATTAATGTCTTTTACCACTGAGTTATGAGGTATGAGGATATAAAAAAAAACAGCAAAAGTAATATAAAACTTTACCACATCAGTGCATGGCCATAGGACCTTTAAGTAGTATAGCTAGAGGAACAAACTCCAAGAGGAATGTTCTCTAGAACGTTACCGTGGAGTCCAACCATAATTAAAACACATTAATCTATACACCTTAACCTAACTAATAGTTTGATTTGATTCTGGTTTGATTGGGGTTATATGTAACCCCCTCATTGGGTGATCGCACATTCTCACCACGACAGTGACACCAACATGGAAGTGACATGTTACTGTGTCTAAAACTAGCATTTAATGTTATGTAATATTCTGTAGTGCAGTATCGCAGCCCTCAGCATCATCGGTTTGACAGAGTTCACGATTTCATATCCTGTTTGTGTTTTTGTATATAAACATACTCTCACTACATAACCCAGCATGCACTACTCAAATAAATCATACAGCCATTGGGTAATCTTTCCATGGTGATAAAGACATCCTGACTGCTAGCATAGCCAGTCTGACTTCTGACAAGAACGCTACCTATCTGGCTTTCTTCTGCATTAGCCAGCGAATAGAGACAAATAAATAAATAAATAGATGGATGGATGGACAGATGGATAGATAGATAAATAGGGCACCCTCAAGTATCCGCCTCAAACTCCTTGTAGTTTTTAAGAAGTTTCTCCTACCCTTCAAGATATGCCATCTGAAGGGTTTCCTAATCTTTAAACCCGAAAATCGCATTCCTGCCTCTTTAAAGACATTCTGACTATAATGACATGATAAATCTCACCTCTGCTATAGTGATGCAGCCCTCATACAGTGTGTGAAGAATATGGTTGGCTAGCATTAGGTAGACCAGGGAGTCCTCGTCAACATGGAGACCAAAATATTCTGAGTAGTCGCCTGAAAAACCTGTACCTGAGCATAAGAACATTTAAAGATGAGATTCAGCACACAGTGCTGAGTGTATTTACAAGAAAAAAACAACAATTACAGATTTGAAAACATATTTTGACCCATAAAGTCACTACTATTTCACTTCTCCTGTTTGATAAAAGCTTATTTTCCTGATTGTACTATAGCATATTTTTGCAGTTCTACTGCAAGGTCTTTTAATTACAAATCTATCTAAAATATATATATATATAGACACACACACACACACACACAGAAACTGAAAAAAGTCCAAATAGCCTTTGCTGAACATGCTCTCTAATTAATTTCTTGCTTGAAAGCACTTTGTGTTGAGAGCTTTTTTCCTCCTCTCTAGCCTCTTATATGAAGTTTATGTAACATCCTTTTGCATGATTGGCACAGATTAACAGCAGAATGGGAGTCTACAGCTACATATAAAGAATGTTTCTCTATATGCATTAAAGAATACCGACTTCAGACCTTTGGGTTTTTGTCTGATAAGATTCAAATGGTGCTTCTTTGACATACCAACGCCATGATGATGGTACAGCATGGACGTGATCCCATCGAACCTGAAGCCATCAAAACGGTACTCCTCCATCCACCAACGCAGGTTAGACAAGAGAAAACGCAGTACTTCCCAGCTATGAGGGAAAACAAACACACATACACTTATGCTCTGTTTATAGGCTTACAGTTTGGAAAAAAGTAGACTTTAAAAACTCTTGAAACATCAACCAGTGCTTTCAAGGTCATGGATTTGTATGAGCAACTGCTGAAATGACTCTCAAAATGATTGGCAGTATAAGTCATACAACATTTCCCACTTGAGACCTGCTGAAAAGAGTAGATTACCAGAGTCATAGAGAGCCCACATTTTTGAGACAACTGACACTGTAGTTCCAGATTTCCTGGCACCACAGCAGTGAAATCAATAAAGCTGACGTCACCAAATGCTGCATGTGTGTATTGTATATCAGGGAGTGTGGCCACTGAGTCTATTAGCTAGCCTAGAAGGACTGATACTGTTTTCAAAGCAAATCAAATATTCACATTTAAAAAAAAATAAAAAATAAAAAAATAAAATTAAATAAAAAGATAAAATTAAAATCAGTTTAACTCCACAACAACAGTTGCTGTGATACAGCAAAGACCTGACATGCCGATACTTCAAGACATTTTCACGATACACAACATATGACAATATTTTGTTGTTCTGAGTTTAAGGGGGAAGAAAAAGGTACCAGCAACATTTTGAAAAAGGCTATGAAAAAACTAAGATAATAATGCTTTTCATTCAGTGTTTGTAAAAATAAACTACTTAAGAAGGATCAGGAGCTGAAATGAAACATCTGGTACAAATAGACAAAGAAAGAAACAGACTGACATACAACTAGTTACACTTCTGCAGTCTATGCTGGTACTATATACAGTGTTGTGAAAAAGTATTTGGCCCTCTCCCAATTTCTTCTATTTTTGGCGATTTGTCACTTTTAAATGTCACAGATCATTCAACTATTTTTAATAAAAGATAAAGACAATACGAGTAAATACAAAATGCACTCTTGGTGAAATTTAGGTTCGCTGGCCACTCTTGGGAAGTTCACCACTGTTTCAGGTTTTTCCATTTGTGGATAATGGCTCTCACTGTGGTTCACTGGAGTCCCAGAGCCTTAGCAAAGGCTCTGTAACTATTTTCAGACTGGTAGATTTCAATGACTTTGTTTTGCATCTGTATTTGAATCCCTTTAGAACATGGCATCATGTGCTGCTTTTTGAGATCTTCTAGCCTGCTTCAGACTGCCGAACAGGTTCTATTTAAGTGATGGGTAGATTCAACAGGTCCGGCAGTAATCATGCCTGGGTGTGGCTAGTAAAACTGAACCTAATAGTCAATTGAATTTAGTTAACTAGTTGATTTAATAGCTTAGGGGGCAATTACTTTTTCACACATGGCCAAGCAGGGCTGAACAGCATTTTTCCTTCAAAAAATGACATCATTTAAAAACAGCATTCTGTGTTTACTTGGGTTCTTCGTCTAATATTAAAAGTAGTCGATGATCTGAAACATTCAAGTGCGAGAAAAATGCAAAAACAGAAGAAACTGGGGAAGGGGCAAATACTTTTTAACAGCACTGTAGATTGATGTTCATAGTTTCGCTATATTTGGTCTTAATGTCTTTGTTATGCTACATGTAGTCACTCAGTGTTTCAGAAGTATTGATGATACCCATGATGTACCCAGAAAAGCATTTTATAGCAGCATTTTTTAGGGATGAGTGAATTTTCAAATATTCAAAGAATCATTAAAGTTATCAAAGAGTATATAAGGTAAATGTAATAAAAATTAAATAGTAAATCAAAAATTGAATAGTAAATAGTAAATCAAATATTTATACTATGCATGTTAGCTTATACCTTATACATTCTCATATTGAAGAATCACCAGAGGTCTGAGCTCTCTTATCCACCAGAGGGCAGTGTAGAACCTGCATTTTATGTTTTGGTCATAGTTTCTCATCTGCTTAGGCCAAAGAATGAAGCATGCAAATTCTACTGCAGCTGGCTAAAGGCTACCACACACCAGAAGAGAAGCTACATGCCAAAAGTGACCCCTCTGCATTGGGTTGGATCTTCAGGACCTTCAGAAGCTTTCTACCTATTTGGTCATTTTATCAGAAACACCTATTATATAGACACACTTTGTAGGTTTACAGTTACTGACTGCGGCACATCTAACCTGTCCATCAATGAAAAGGGACCGCCACAGAACACTGTCGGAAAACCATCCTTCTCCACCAGAAGGCAGTGTAGAGCCTGTGTATAATGATTTGGTAACAGTTTCTAAGCTGCCTAGTCCAAAGAGGAAAGCAACAAATTCTACCGCAGCTAGCTAAAGGATACAAGGCTACTGTATACCAGAGAAGCTCCCTGCCGCACCACCAGAGTGTCTCTGCCGCTGAGTAGCAGAGAGTACAAAGCGCAGCTACAGCATATAGGAAGCATCACAGAAAAGTTTTGATTAACAACAAGCTCAGCTTTCCACACTCTACTTCTACAGATCTGAAGGAAAACACTTTTCAACATCATTTAGTGAAATTATGAAGTCTGGTATCAGCAAACTAACACCCCATAAACTTGTTGATTTTCAGTTAAAAGGTATGAGGCACAATACGATGCAACTAGGCTAGTAACTTAGTTGAGGTAACAGACAATCATCATTTAGATTCACTTTAGATTGATACCTTGGTGTAAATTGCGAGTCAGATGTCACCTCCTATGCATATGGACTTAATATTACACAGTAATAGTAAGACTGCTGAGTGGGGTCACTGCATTTGGTGGAATCCACTTGACACATCTGGTATGTGGTAGCTTTCAGCCTGAAAGTCTACCGCACACTGGACCTCAAGTGGGGGTATTATTTGATTTTTTTTAATAATGCTTGTAAATTTGAAAATTTGTGAAAATCATCATACTGACCACTCCCTACAACAATGCAGTACATTTCACTTAATCAAATGTTAACTGTTCTTTGATATTCAGAGCACACTGCAACTTGCACAATGTGGTTACGGACCTTCAATAGCAGAAGAATTCAGGAAAGCTACGCTGGTGCCTGTGACTCCCTCGGTCCAAATAGTCCACATGCAGAAATGAATACTAATTTGTGCTAGCTATAGCAGACTTTCATCAGTCAGCTCACCTCAATCAGATCCCCAGGACATGAAGCTATGAGCATAAATTAAGCACTGAGGTGGAAAAATAGAAAAAAAAAAAGAGAACTCTCATCCTTAAAGTAGCTCCATATCCTGGAGTGTTCAGATGGTATCTGTAGGCACTTGTGACTAGCCACTTTGAGTTGAGAATCCTCCACACCTTCGCTCTCCAGGAGTAATGGCCATGTTGCCATAGAAACTTAGTTAAAATGCAAGTGCCGGGGTCCTCTAGCGTTATGCGCAATGCACACAAAACAAGGTAAAGTATCTCAACCATACAAGGATGGCAAATTAACAGGCCCTTTATGCTACAGCAAGCTTAATGTATTGCACTTGTAAACGCCGGCTGTTTTGTCTCAAAACGCTCTTGTCGACTGTTCATTTTGAAGTCTGACAGTTATGGTCTCAGTTCTGCACACATGCCTTGATTTAGTACTAAAAATACCACTAATCCTGCTCCTCTAAAAGTGTATTCAAAGCAATGTGAGTGCATGAGTGCATGGATGAATTCTCTACGACCCTCCTGCCCATTTCTCTCCTGGAAAAAGTCTACAACAACGACAAGAGGGCCAGCAACCAGAAAATGAGAAAATATGGAAATGAACCGTCTTTTCAATGATCTGACACTTACACCGGAATTTGAGGCTATTCAGCATAACTCATGAACCCCACGTCCCACATGCGGGTCTGCAGAACCGTTGGCAGATGTCTGATAACATTAATACAAAATCAGGTGCCACAACCTTCATTTCGAGTCATGTGATGCATCACCCCAACATATTCAGTTTCCTGCTGAGGTAAGCAGCTACATTCATGTATGCTAAATCGAATATATGGATACAAGTCTCCACTGGGAAGGCACAAATCCCTCCCCCACCTCCACATTTCTCTCTGAACTGTTGTGCTTTTCACAATTGGTTCTGCTTTGGGAGTAGAACGGGTCCGGGACAGATTGCGGTTTTCTCAGCTATGGTGAAACCGCTGATGTAGATATCCCTTGTGCGCTTTTCGCAAATGAAGGTGTGAGCAGCGAGTTTAGCGTTCCCTGGGCATGGGGCCTGAAGTGGCCTGATAAGCGTGTGGCTCAAGCGGTCACTGGCCCATGTGTGATGAATAGATTAGTCTCCGTCTGACACCGTGCACGAGTGCCACAAAGAGCCAGCGCATGCTGCGTCCTCCTGGGAGCAAGGTAATGGCCACCTCGAGCAGCAGAGCTACCGCAAAACCATACCGGTGCATTACGGCCTAAAGCACGGCTATTAATCAATACAGTCAATTACTGCCCAGAGCAAGCGGCCCACTTATGGACTAAGACACGCCGGCATTTGTGAGGCTTTAAATGGAGGATTCGGTCTTTCACTGGGGAAAAAGGGAGTTGAGGTGATGGTTTGTGAAATTAGGTGAAGTAACTGACACTGATTAGGTGATAAAATGATGAATGAGTCTAGGTTCCGCTTTGAAGTTGAGCATCTTCACTGAAATGTGAAAGGATGATAAAATAGTTTTAATCATTTATAAATCTTTCTTTTGCTCCATCACAACCATTTCTTAACACTATGCATCCATAACCACAGGTTTCAATGGTGCAATTGCAAGAGTCTGCATGTGGGCCAACATTTCAGCTCTAGACTCATAACCACATAAGTTACATATTAGTTTCATAGTACTTACTGAATAATACGTCTTGAGATTATAAGTGATTCCTGTAACTCATCTGGTAGAGTATGGTGCTAGTAATGCTAAAGTTATGATTCCTAGGAAGTATACAATCCTGCACAGAAGTCAGAGACTTAATATTCAGTCACAATACCATACAGTTATTCATTCTCAAGTTATATTTGTTAAGAGATAAGATCATCCATTTGCATAAGCAAATAGAAATGGGACTCCTAACAACCATGCAAGACCTGAAAGAGCACCAAAAC